CTTAGGAAGTGATGACTACGTGCCAGGCCCTCTGCTGGGGATACAAAAGGAAAAAAAAATGTAAGTTTTTCCCCTCAAAGAGTTTACAATCCTTTGGGGGAATACATGTCAATCAGTTAACAGTCATTCGCTAAGTGTACTAAATGACCGTTTTACTATGTGCCAGGCAACGTGCTGAGTGTAAGCTGAGGAAAGGCAAAAACAGTTCTTGCCCTCAAGGGGTTTACATTCTATTCAAGGGATACAATATATACATAGACAAGTAAGTGCAAAATATATTCCAAGTAAATATAAATTAATTTTAGGCCAGACAGCACTAACAACTGGGGGTGGGGGAAGGAAAGTAACAGAGAAAGCTTCATGTAAGAGTTAGCCCTTGAAGGAAGCTAGGGATCTCGAGAGCTAGAGTTAAGGAGGGAGGGCTTTCTAGAAGAGAGTCTGTTCAAAGGCCAAAGACAAGAGATAGAATGTCATCATCATCATCATCATCATCATCATCATCATCATCATCATCATCATCACCATCATCACCATCATCATGAGCACTTCTATAGGGCATTTTTTTGGTCAAGGCAATCAGGGTTAAGTGACTTGCCCAGGGTCACACAGCTAGTAAGTGTCAGGGGTCAGATTTGAACTCAAGTCCTCTTGACTCTAGGGTTGGTGTTCTATCCAATGTGCCACCTAGCTGCCTCTCTGTAGGGCATTTCTTTTTAAAATTTATTTACTTTTAGTTTTCAACATTCACTTCCATAAGCTTTTGAGTTCTGAATTTTCTCCCCCTCCCTCTTCACTTCCCTCCCCAAGACGGCATGCAATCTGATATAGGCCCTACATATACATCTGTAGGGCATTTCTAAAGCACTTTACAAATATCTCATTTTATCTTTATGATCCTAAGAGATAGGTGCCATTATTATGTCCATTTTACAGATGATGAAACTGAGGTTGACAGAATGGTTAAGTGATGGCCCAGAGTCACCCAGCTAGTAAGTGTATAGGGCTAGAGTTGTACTCAGGTTTTCCTGACTCCAAGTCTGGGGGTTTTAACCACTGTACCACCTAGTGGCCTACATGAGAAACAGCAAATAAGACAGTTTGAGGTGGGGCATAATATTAAATATTAATAGTAAATTGGAGTCAGATTGAAAAGGGCTTTAAATGCCAAATGGAGGAGTTTTCAATTTATCCTAGTGGTAACAGGAAACCACTGAGGCTTCTTGAGTAGGGGAGTGGCATGGTGAAGACATATGTTTTAGGAATATCCATTTGGCAACAGTGTGGAGAATGGGTTGAAGAAAGCAGAGGCTGGACGCAGAGAATAATTCACAGTCCAGGAGGGAGGAGATAAGGGCCCCACCTAGGGTGATGTCTGCATAAGTCAAGTAAGGGGTGGTGGGTATGATATATTGTACGGTCAGAAACACAAGACTTGACAACCAATGGAATATGAAGGGTGAGGGAGGAGTTCCAGATACCTCTTAGATTACAAAACTTTCATTGTTCAGTCATCTTTTTTCAGTCATGTTCAACTTTTCATGACCCCATTTGGGTTTTTCTTGGCAAAGATACTGGAGTGATTTGCTGTTTGCTTCTCCAACTCATTTTACAGATGAGGAAACTGAGGCAAACAGGGTGAAGTGACTCACCCAGGGTCACACAGCTAGTAAGTGTCTGAGGCTGGATTTGAACTCAAGAAGATGAGCCTTCCTGACCTCAGGCTGGGCACTCTATGATGGAAAGATAGTAGTAACCAAAACATAAAAAAAATAATAAAGTTAGGAAGAGGGATGATGCTGTCCAGGTAGGAAGATGAAGCTAGTGACCCATGATTAGTAGCGTCATTGATCTAGAACTGGAAGGAAACTCAGAGGCTGTTGAGTCCAATTCCTTCATTTTACAGAGAGGGAAACTGAGGCCTAGAGAGTTTAAGTGAGTTGCCCACCATCACACAGTATGGATTGGGGTTTTTTTGTTTTGTTTTGTTTTTCTCAGCGTCAATGACAGATTTGTTCAGGATACATCCTCATTTTCTCCCCTAGGACCCTCTCACTACCAAACGCAGGAATTTGTAAGAGGATTGGAATCCATGTAAGACACAAAGCCACATGAACCCAATGGGAAGCAAACTCCTGATCTTTGCACTGATAGCTGCAGTGGGTCTCACAAGCCTGAGATCAGTGCGTTAAAAGGAAGGCAGAGGGGGAGGGACTTGTGCTTTCTCTGTCTCCCCTTCACTCTCAGGAGGCAGGGATCACAGCAGGCAGTCTTCTTACCATGGCAGTGACGGAAGTGGGTTAGGAAGGGTAGGAGGCCCTCTATTAGTTCAAGAAAGAACCCTCGTTTCCAGATGAAATGAGTGAAAATGCAGGGGCTTGTCTGCTGGCAGATCAACTTCCAACAGCTTGTCCTCATCCATTATTCATGAGAACAGGAAGACAAGTCTGATCATATCAGGATGCTGCACTGTCCAGCAAATTTAATGATAGTTGCTCCAGGGCATTTTAATTCCCATGAAAAATTTCCATTTTTGCCCATTTATGGTCTAGAGGTTTAAAAAGTGACTCCCTGATGTGAAGAAGCAGGGTGAGGTTTAAAAGCAGCAGGTCTTTTTCCTTAGCCTACACCCTATGGACTCCTGGTACCATCATGGGACCTCCTGATATAACCTAAGGACCCCTGGACCTTGTCATCTGCCTCACTGCTGAGCCCTTAGAACTTCTAGGTCTTTCCATCCACCCTGGAGCTGAATTTTCTTTTATATGCTTTATATAGTATATGCTTTCATATGTTTTATGTAACACATAATATATTCTTGTATATGTTTTATATAACATTATTTTATATAATATATAATATATTCTTTTATAGGTTTTATACAATATATAATATAATATGTTTTAATATGTTTCATATAATGTATTCTTTTATATATTTTACAACCTATATTATATATATTTTTTCTTTTATATGTTTTCCCCCATTAGAATATGAGTTTCTTGAGGGCAGGCATTGTCTCACTTTTTCTATTCATATAGCCAGCCCAAATATAGCACAGTTTGACACATAGTAAGTGTTTAATAAATGCCTTTTCATCAATGAATTATTTAATTAATTTATGAGGATGGTCTCCCCCCTTCCCCCTCCAAATCATCCCTTTCATTCTTAATTTTTTGGTGAGGAGTTAATGCCATTTGGAATAGTCATAGATTTTCAGACTAATTTCTATTTTCATCCCTGTCACTCCAATAATTTGGAAAAATATATGGGATATTGGTGTAGGTTTCAAGAGATTTCAATGTGTTACCAACTTCTAATCTTTTCAAGTCTTGAGAGCTATTTATTTTCCAATAGCAAAAAAATGGTAGTCTACTGCCATGGAGACACTTTATTTTTGACCAGTCACTGAAATCCTCCAATTCATCCCATCCCCAAATCCTTCTGACTTGCTGTCAGACAAGTAAAGAGGCTGGTACATTTTAATGCAAGGAAAGGATATTGTCTGAGCTTCCTAAGGTTGAAGTCAAAGGTTTGGGGAAGGAGACATAACTCTTTCTGACATAGGGAAACCCTTTTTTAGCCCTTCCTGACCTCTTGAACATAAAATGTCTTGCTATTAGGCATAGTTGGGTCAATGGCTCCTGACCTCATTTGCAGTTCAGAGCATTTGTGATTTCATTACTTAAGGTTCTGATTCCATTGATGCAACTTATAATCTCCCCAGGCCCTAGTAGACAATGGTCTTAAGTTATTATTTTTGAAAAAAAAATCCATTTCCCAGGGGCAATCCTGTGGTAATGAACCTGTTTGAAGTTGGCTAGGTTAGGATGGTCCTTGAACTGGGAGGAATATTGTTCTGTCCATAAAGTCTGTATGGCTGCGCAGACTTTGTGCTCCATTGGCACTGGAAACCAAAAGCTAACATCCTCTATAGCCAGGTGTCACAGTGAATAGAGTGTTGGTCTTGAAAACAGGAAAACCTGAATTCAAATCCTACTTCAGACATTTATGAACTATAATACTCCAAGTATTAGGTGGTAATATGCCAAGTTTAAGTTACAGAAAAGGTGCTGACCTGCATTGGTAAAGGGAATGTCCTAATCCAGGAGCTGCCTATGTAAATGAAATCACAGGTCCAATCCCAGTCCTAAAGTTCAAAATGAATATTAGCCATTCTGAATTATATAACAATTAGATAAATATTATATATGTGTCATTGTTTATGCAATAATAGCATTTATTACATATAATTAAATTCGATATAATCATACAACAGCCATCACAGTTATGATACAATATTTATATAATTATCTGTAATTATATAAATTATTTATAATTATGTAAGTATATACTACAGAAAACATAGAATTTAAAGTTATTATAAATATGTGATATAAATAATACAGAAATGATAGATAATATGAATATTATATTATGATATAGTAATATAATTATACATATTCTGTTATTTTGTAGATATAATTATATCATGTAATAGTTTATCATTGTATAAATATTATACAATTATATGATCATATAACTATATTATAAATTACTTTGCAAACTTTAAAGTATTATGTAAATGTTAGCTATTATTATTAACAATCCACACAAGAAAAACCAAGTGGATGAAAAGTGTTCATAGCCCAAATTTCTTTGACATGCAGTCAGAAGAGCAACATTTGAGTTAGCCCATTAACACATTAAACACCTACTGTGTGCCAAGTGCCATACTAGGCAGTAGAGACACAAAGACAAAAATATATTTGTCTCTTTCAAGTTTACATTCTACTAGGTAGAAACAAGACCACAGCTAAGTAATTATATATGTGTGTGTGTATACATACATACATACATACATACATATATATATGTATACACACACATACACACACATATATGTGTGTGTATATATATATGTATATATATATATATGTATATATATATATATATATATATATATAATATATATAATACTACTGTTATGCTTGGACAAACATAACAGCTGAATGGTGAACTGGACCTAGAATTAAAAACAGTTGAAGGTATGAAATGGATTGTGTTTGAGAAAATTTTTGCATTTTTTTTCAATGACACTGAGCACTTCCTTGACATAAAAACATGTCTGTTTAAAGCCAGGATTTGGCTATTTGGCTACTGCTTCTACATGCCCACAAAGAGCAGACTAGCATGATCTCTACAGAATCACAATTACAAGTGACCCAAAGGTCACGGAAGAGATGAGTGGCAGGTATCTTGCAACAGACGATCAATGATGACTTATATGCAAGAGGAGGTTTAAAGACACAATCAAAGTAATGTATGATGGGAAAAGGAGGTGGACCGATCATCTGACAAGAGGAAGGTCCAAGGAACAGATGGAAACCCAATCACTGTACTGGTACCCTTTCAGGACTTTGTATGGAACCTCTCTGGGAGATCTGTGGGACAGCTTGAACCAAAATCCTACAGGATGAGAAGATGCGTCTGAGTTATGATTTGCATCAGGGAAAGGAGGGAATAAGCATTACACCTACTCTGTGCCAGGCACTGTGTTAAGTGCTTTACAAATATTATCTGATTTGATCCTCATAGCAATTTGGGGAGGCAGGTGCTGTTATTATCCCTAAATTAAATATGAGGAAACTGAGGCAAACAGGTGAAATGACTTGTTCAGGGTCACATAGCTTGTAAGTGTCTGAGGCTAGATTTGAACCCAGGCCTTCCTAGCTCCAAACTCAGTGTTTTATCCACCACTGGCTATATTGGGGGAGGGATACAATCACAGATCTGAACAAAGATGGAAGTAAGGTTCTTCAGCATGTGATAATATGTTGAAATCAAAGCCCGTTTCAAAGTGGGAAAATTCACAAAGTTGAAACAATGAATATTTTATTAATGCACAGTCTCTAATTTGCAACAAGGGTATTACAAATAAAGTCATAACCTAGCTGATTAAGTTATGATTATGAAGGGAAAGTCTCTATTTCCTCTCTGCTCACATGATCAGACCCTCATCTCCTCATGTTTAGATGACTTGCAGTAGTCTTCTACTGGCCCCCCTGCTTCTTCCCTCTCCCCTCCCCAATCTATCCACCACATGGCGGCCAAATTGACATTCTTCCAGCACCCGTCTGACCATGACGTTCAAGACGCTTCAGTAACTACCTATTGCCTCTGGGATAAAATGAAAACACCTATCTGTCATTTAGGGCCCTTCACAATCTGGTTCCCAATTATAACAGTACTCTTTCTTCTAGCCCCACCAGCCTTCTATCTTCTCTCTCTATCCTTTTGCACAGGCCTGGAGCTCCCCCTTGCCTAGAAGGCTCTTCTGCCTCATCCCCATTTCTTGGAATCCCTATAGTGTTGATTGCTAGACAAAACCCCTCCCCTAGTTTGTGCTAACACCCATTCCTCCAAATTATTTAATTATCTACATCCTATAGTTAATTAAAATAATATATAACAATATTATATAACATGTATTATGATGTTATATAATAATATTCTAATATATAATTATGTAATACCACAATATAATAACTAGTAGTTTATATTATATAATTATTATATTTATTTGGCTGTGAACTTGTTTCTACCCAGTAGAATGTAAACTTCTTGAAGAAAAAGACACATATATTTTTGTCTTTGTATCTCCAGTGCCTGGCATGGCACTTGGCACACAGTAGCTGCTTAATAAAGGCTTGTTGACTTGAATTAAATTGGAAAATCCTCCTATATAGACTAACTTTTTAGAAGCCAAAGTTGACTCCAGTCAATTCAGTCCCTCTCCCTGGAATTTCATTGAGTTTTAATGAATTTTTCATCAACTTATTAATTAAACAAACCTTGCCTTATATTTTATAAGTAAGTTCCGATGTGACCCTCAAGATTTTAAATTTGAGCTCCATGCTAATTTTTCAATGAGAAATGCTGAAAATTTTATGCTTTCCTTCCTGGTGAGAGAATGAATATAAATGATGTTTGTCAGAAAGATTGAGTGTCATGCTACTCTGAAGACACAAGCTGATAGATTATTAGTCATGAGATTTCAAACTCATTTTCTCGATGCTATAATCAATTGCTGACATTCTGTTTCCCCAAAAGCCTGTTTTTTAGGCTCATTTGGTAGGCTAGTCACCAAATGTTAACCCAAACTTGTGTGACAAGCCAACAGACGTTGCACCTTTTCCTTAGTCATGATCTAAAACGCTGCTGGTCCCTTGGGGATGTCCTAATTTGCTGTGTGCTTGGGTTCTGATCAGCTACAGAATTCACCAAAAGACAGGGAAGGCTTTTATGTGGTTAGATTGTTCAGAGGGCTACAGAACATTACCAACTGTGGACGGCATCCAGAAAGTGACAGAAAAGATGGTGCCTGAAAATTTGTTTTTATATTAATGATCTCATTCGAAACTCACAAAAACCTTGTGAGGCTCATACTTATATATGTCATCAATCCAAAGGTCACAGACTTAGGGCTGGAAGGGACATCAGAGACCAAGAGTCCTTCATTTCACAGAGAGGAGAAAGAAAGGCTCAGAAAGTGAAGGGTCACATAGTTAACTGTCAGGTATTAATTATCATCTTTATTTTTACAGTGAAGAAACTGAGGCTTAGAAAGGTTGACTTACCCAGGGTCACCTAGTTAACTACGTGTCATATATTAATCATCATCTTTAACAGGCTTATAGAGGTTGACTTACCCAGGGTCACACAGCTCAGGATATTGGCTGCTCCTGAATCCACACCCAATATTATTTTCACTATGTACTGGATACTGTACGTACTCAGAGTGCTATTCATTGGGTTGGAAACAGTGCTAGGGACCACCTTGAGGGTCCATTCACAGTCCATATCATTTGTGAGATCATCAACTTAGAGTTGTCTTTCTGGGTCCACGTCCAGCACTCACCTGCATGTACCACTGGGGGTAATACTTGCTTTCAGTGTCCATCAGCCTCAATTTAGGCACAGGGTGAGAGAGCCTTCTGGGAGAAATGTACGCTTAGCATCTACCTCCTTGGAGTACAGTGGATAGAGTGCTGGGTCTGAGTCGGGAAGGATGGAGTTCAAATCTGATCTCAGATGCTATTTCTGTATGCCCCTGGGCAATTCACTTAACCTCTTTCTACCTCAGTTTCCTCAATCACAAAATTGAGTCAAGTATCCCCAGATTCCTTGCAGCCCAAGCCATAATCTGGTTGCCAGTCCTTAGGGAAGGGATGTTTAACCAGCTTCACTCCCAAAGTGTCCTATGTTGAATACACATGCATGTCTATGTGTGGATGACTTTACTCTGTACATTTCCCAAGGAAAGTTCCTTAACAAAAAGAAAAAATATAATAATAGCATCTACCTCTCAGGGTGGTTCTGAAGATTAAATGAGACACTATTTTTAAAGCTCTAGGTATACAGTAGGTGCTTAACAAGTGTTTCCTCCATTTCTTCCTTCTCTATCAATAAATTTGTAGAGGACATTAGGATCCTTAATCAAGTTCAATCCAATAAATGTTTGTTAAGCAGCTACTACGCCCAAGGAAGGTACAGTACAGTGCCAGTTGATATAAAGGCAAAAATAAAAACAATCTGGGCCTCAACGAGTGAGAAGAGCTGGGCTTGAAGCTGGGCACTGCTACTTATTAGCATCATAGCCCTGAACAAATCACTTCATCTTCTTGAGTGTCAGTTTCCTCTTCTGTAAAATGATGGACTTGGAGTAGAACCTTGTTTTGTGTGACGAATCTCTTTGGCCGCTGGGTGAATTCTTCTCAGAATCACGTTTATAAATGCATAAAATAGATACATAGGATTATAAAGGAAACCAGTTCCATTGAGATGTAGTTATGGAAATATTTTTTAAAAAGTTCTGGGACCCCGGGTTAAGGACTCTTAGATTGGATAATTTCTGGGATCCTCTCTAGCCCTGATCCTATGAACAATCCTTAGATTTTCACCATCCCTTCCAGTCCTACATTATAACATTCTATAATGTGTAATGTAGAATTGACTACATACTATGTGTTTTTGAGTAGTAGTTTCTGTAATAAAATTATTTTTCGTGGGTATATTGAGAAATGAGGGGCAATGGGGCTTGAGAGGTAGCCTCAAGGCCAGGAAGACCAAGCTGAAGTCTTTCTTCTGATTCACAGTGACTGTCTGACCCTACCCAAGTCACTTAACTTCTCAATCCTTTCTAAGACTTTAAGTTGCAGAGGAGGGGCTGACTTTCGTTGGTAGAGGGACTTTCCTTACATGGGAGCTCCCCATGCCAGTGAAATCACAGTTCCAGTATCCCTATGTGAAGAAATAGAATATTTTTACAGACTTTTCCCAAATTTTTCAGCTTCTTCCTGAAGCACAGGTCCATTGTTTTCCTCCTGTGAGGTTGGCTGTCAATCACAGGCGACCACAATCTATCAGGAAGTCAAGTTTAGGGTCACCCAAAGGCCCACAAAAACAAGGTGGCCATGAGAAAACGTCAAACATCAGTCATGAGTACGCTAGTCACTAATGGGTAGGAGAAGCTGGGTAAAGGTGCCGTCCAAGAGAGGACAGCCAGGCATGCAGTGAGCACAAGAAACACTCTGACATCCACATGTGGACACAGAGATGTCGAGAAAAATGTCGAGAGATCTAAAGTAGCTGTTCTTCAAATTTTAGATCTCAAGACTCATTTATGCTCTATTTTTTTTAAAAAAAAGATTCTTTTTTGTTGTTTGTTAAATTATTAACATTAATTTTTAAATTTTGAGTTCCAAATTCTCTCTCTTCTCCAGGGACTCCCTAGCCCATTGAGAAGACAAACAATGTGATACCCATTATAAATGTGAAATTGTGCAAAACCTATTTCTATATTAGCCATGTTGTTAAAAAAAAAAAAAGCAAGAAAAATAAAGTGAAAAAAATGTGCTTCAGTGTGCATCCAGAGTTCATTAGTTCTCTCTCCGGATATAGATAGCATGTTTCATCATGAGGACTCATTTGTACTCTTAAAAATTATTCCGGACTCCTCCCACAAAGAGCTTTTGTTCCAGTGGATTACCAGGGGGTTTCTTGGAACCAGTAGTAAGTGCTCTAAAGAGCTGATTGTTAAATTTGCAGAGTGAGCATTTACATCTTGGAAATCAGCAAATGCCACAGATCAAGGCTCAATTTAATGTTTATTAAATTAATGTTTATCGATTGTCTAGATTTAAGAAAGGGATGGAGAAAATATTAATAATGCAGATTAAACTGAAAAGTATATGATATGGGGCAGCTAAATAGCGCAGTAGATAGAGCACTGGCCCTGAAGTCAGGAGGACCTGAATTCAAATCTGGCTTCAGACCAAACACTTGACACTAGCTGTGTGACCCTGGGCAAGTCACTTAACCCCAACTGCCTAAAAAAAAAGTATATGTTATGTACATTTCCCCCCTTAGATCCAACTGTTAAACATTTATAAGCACATCCTGGTTTTATTTAATGATGTAAAAATTTAATGCCTTAATAGTATGAGAATAATGTTGACCTTATGAACTCCCTGAAAGGGTCTCTGAGATACCTCTTTGAGGATCTTTGAGAACTGCTTATCTATATATTTCTGGGGCCTTCCTCCTATAGAGGGTTTACCGTAGGACATACCCAAGGGTGAGAAGGTATGGATGGGCTGTGGTCTCCATCGATGTCAGAGTCAATCACATCACTCATTAATGGAAATATTGACATATGCTGAAAAAATATAACAGCAAATCATTACAATTCTTTCTGTACTTGACCAAGGACATAGCAACTTTGACTATATATATTCATTTTGGAATACACACACACACACACACACACACATATCTATATATACATATATACAGTAGAGGGCTGTCCTTGGGAGTCAAGAAAAGCTGGGTCTAAGTCTCATCTGTGAATCATCTTGACTGTGTGAACACAGAGAAGTCACTTACCCTCAGTAACCTAGGTCAGAGGTGCCAAACAGTCTCGCCTCATAAAGCTCACAATATTCCCGAGTGCCACTGAACTGGATTAAAATTTAATTGGGACATACGTAAGAGAATAAATAAAAACATAATAAAACATAGATCATACTAGCATGTGGTTTTCTGAGTCAGTATGTTGTCTTCAGAGATCCGTACAGTTTAGTGGCTCTGTTTCTGTTTGAGTCTGACACCACTGCCCTAGGCAACTCTCTAGTCAGTATTTATTTAAGCTCATACTATGTGCCAGGCACTGTGCTAAGTGCTGGGAATACAAAGAAAGGGAAAAGACAATCCTAACTCTCGAAGAACTTACCATAGAATGGGAGAGACTATATATAAACAACTAGGTACAGATAAAATATAGAAGGATGAATTGGAGATAACCAACAGAGGGGGCTTCTAGCATTAAGAAGGATCAAGAAAGGCTTCTTGCAGAAGGTGGAAATTTAGGTGAAATTTAAAGGAAGCCAAGGAAGTATAAGTTACAGATGAGACACCCATTTTCATTGTTAGATAGAGTTTCCACACTGGGAGTTCCTTACAGTAAGGAAATTATTGGTCTGGATTCAAACAACCCACCCACCCACTCACCCACTCCCCACCAACCCGTCCACCCACCCACCATACACCAGTAAACAGTAACTCGACCTGGATAAGTTCAGCCACTAGGTGTCGCTACCGATTCAGATAAGGAGGCATGAACTTTGAAAAAAAAGTTACCACTTTTTAATTTCTAAATACTATATGCTGAAAGGGGATCTATTTTGAGCATCTACACCCATCTTCCCTTCCTACGCATTTCACACTCCTAACTGCTCTTCCACATCTATTTTTCCCACACTTTCTCCTTGACTGAAGCTGGATCAAAACAAGTGCCCAAGGGCTCAGAGGCGATTGGTAAATGGTCCTGGCTAGGAAATTCTCCATCCCTGTCCAGGAATGGAAACGCCCCCCTTCCTGTTGCTCTAGCGGTGGTCTCTACTTGCAGCATCTTGAACCTCCAACACCTTTGACCCTCTTCTGATCCTGCAGTTCTCTTGTCCATTTAAAGGGCTGGCTCTGGAGTCAGAAAACCTGAATTAAAATCCAGTGCAAGTATTGTTGTTGTTTAATTGACTGATACTGTCCATGTGGCCTTGAGTAAGTCACATAATTTCCCTAGGCCTCAGTTTCCTCGTATGTAAAAGGAGTAGGCTGAACCATATGGCTCCTAAGGTCCCTTCCAAATTTAATCTATGATCCCAAGATAATAATAAACTTACCCCAGCCAGTCTCCCAAGGTTCTGACTCACAGGTGTAGCTCTTTGTGGGTCTCAGAATTGTAAGGGTCCTCAGGGGCTCTCTAGTCTGGATAAAACCTGAATATCTACCCTCAACATTCCCAACAAATGGTCTTTCAGTCTATGATTTAAGACCTCTGATGAGAGGGAAGTCAACACCACCTATATCAAGTGTTCTTAACCTTTCTTTTTTTGGGGGGGGTCACAGAAGACCCCTCTGGCAGTGTCTGGTGAAGCCCATGGACCCCTTATAACAATCATGTTTTTAAATGCATAAAATAAAATACTTAAGATTATAAAGGAAATCAATTATATTGAAATACAGTTATAAAAATATATTTAAAAAAAAGCTGGTGGGCATTAGGTTAATAATTCCCATCCCAGAGGCATTCCATTCTATTTTTTTGGACAACATTTATAGTTTTTTTTTCTCACTTCAAGATAAAATTTTTTCCCCATTTCTTCTCATTGCTTCTAATTCTGTCCTCTTGGGTCAAACAGACCAAGTGTATTCCCTCTTCCATGTGACAGCTCCATAAATACTCAAAGACAGTGACCTCCCCTTCCCTCCTCAAATGGACAGTGGCCAATGAACCGCTCTGTTTTGCTTGACTCTTTGCATTTGTATCAAGAGTTTTGTTTTTCTTTCTTTTCTACTTTAAATATCCTCAGTTCTTTCAACTGCTCCATATAGTTCTTTCACTATATTTTCACCTTCCAACCCTCTCATTTTACTGATGGGGAAATTAAGGCCCAGAGGCTTTCCCAAGGTCTCATGGGTAATAATGGATTTGGAGGCAGGTTCTCTGCCTCTAAATCTTTCCACTCTACTAGATCTTTCTACTTAATTCTAAATCAAGGACATGTTCTACCATCAAGAAAACTTGAGAAATTGTTATTTTGGGCATCCTCCAATAAATCAGTCATACTGGGTACTCTGGAGTTAGCTGGGCTTGCTGTTTTCTATTCCTTTAATTTACTTTTGTGGGGGTGGGGGATGAAGGTGAGGTGAGTTTACAGAGGACAAGCTTTGCAGTTATTCAGTCATTTTCAGTCATGTTTGACTATTTGTGACCCCATCTGGGGTTTTCTTTGAAAAGATACTGGAGTGGTTTGCCATTTCCTTCTCCAGTGAGCTTTACAATTGAGGAAACTGAAGCAAACAGGGTTAAATGACTTGCCCAGAGCCACACAGCTAATAAGCGTCTGATGCTGGATTTGAACTCATGAAGATGAGTCTTCATGACTCCTGGCCCAGCATTCTAGCTGCCCTGAGGATGAGCTTATATTCTCATTTTTTGGAGGTGGGGATGAGACTAAGTGGGGAGGAGGAAAAGGAGTCTCTGCCTCAGTGAGCTTTCACAAACAATTACTATACACATATGTAAATGATAGTCCTTTCATTCACTTTGCTCTCCAGGAGGGAGAGGCCAGAAGACAATAGCTGGGAAAAAATAGATGACTGTAGGATCCAGACTTGGTAGTTCAACTCAACCCCCTCATTTAATTTAATTTTATTTTTAATAGTATTTTATTTTATCCAATTACATGTAAAGATAATTTTTAACATTCGTTTTTTATAAAATTTTGAGTTCCAAATTTTCTCCCTTTCTCCCTCCCCTCTCCTCTTTGTAAGACAGTATGATATAGGTTATATGTGTACAATCATGTAAAACCTATTTCCATATTAGTCATGTTGTGAAAGAAGAAACAGTTTGCAAAATGAAAAAACCATGAAAAAAATAAAGTGAAAATAGTATGCTTCGATCTACATTTAGATGCCATCAGTTCTTTTTCTGGATGCCCTCAATTAAAAAAAATTATCATTTTCTGTGAACAAAAATCTATTTTCTCTCTCCCTCCCCAACCTTCGGAAAATAAAAGGAAAACCAAACCTTTTTGACAGATAAGCATAGTCAAGCAAAACCAATTCCCAAACTGGCCATGTCCAAAAATTCCTGTCTCATTCTACACTTGGACTCCATTACTTCTCCATCAGGAGGTGGGCTGCATTCTCACCATCACTTCCTTGCCCTCATTTTTGGCCATTTCAGAAGTCAGAATCCTTGCATCTTTCAAAATTGTCTCGACTGTATTATTGTTATACTAGAAAGCATTCCGATTCGGCCCATTTTGCTTTACATCAGGTTGTGCCAATCTTCCCCTCACTCTACAGCCTCAGGAAGAGGGACTCCCTGGCCTAAGGTCCTCCAGAGAGTGGGAGAGAGGAGACTCAAACTATGCATCACCCCACGCTGCTCTCTCTGATCACAGAGGACCTGGCAGCTCAACCCCATCTTTCCAAAGGGCAGCATAACAAGGTCTTTGACTGCCTGGTCTCGTCTTCATCTCTGAAGATGCTGCTGTCAGCATTTATTATCAGCCTCTCTGGATGCGCCTGGAGAGCCGGACCAGCGACTGACTTCATGGTGTGCTCTCATGAAGGCTGCCGTCAGGTTCCCAGGCTTTGTCTGTCTGCCCTGGTTGTTGATTCGCCATCAAAGTGCCTGCTGAATCAGGAACCACTATATTTCCCTCCTCCCAGCAGAGGGCAGCCACCCATCACGACATTCAGCCCTGCTCCCATCTTGCAGGCTCTCAAACCAGAAGCCCACTTCTCTGATGCTCACGGTACCCAACACCGTGCCATGCACAGAAGAAACGCTACACAGATGCTTACTTGGGCCGTAGGTCTGGCGGTCATAGCTATGTGCACTTTTGTCCTATGGTTTTAGCTTTTCTTCCCTTGGATAGAGGGCTAGAGTTGAAGCCAGGAAGTCCTGGGTTCAAATCCCCAACTATGTGACCCTGGGCAAATCACTTGACTCTATGAGCATCTCAGTTTCCTCCTCTGTAAAATGGGGCTAATAATTGTACCACCCTTGCAGAGCTATTGTGAGAATGAAACGAGATAAAATACTTGACAAAACTTAAAGTGTTATGTAAATGTCAGCTACCATTATCACATTCTTATATTTTTGAATGAGAAAAACATTATTGTTATTATTATTAGGATTATTAGGATCAAACGAGATAACATGGGCAAAGTACTTGGCAAAATGTAAAGTAATACATAAATATAATAATAATTTTTATTAATCTTGCCTTCATAGTTTTTCAGTGGGATTCCAATGGATTTAAGGTCCTAGGACAATTTGCTATTCCAATAGTATTCTTCTTTAGTGTTCTTTGGTCTGTCAAATGGATAGATAAACTAATTGCTTTTTGTAGTCGAATCAAAATATGAGGCACCTGATGGTACAGTGGATAGAGTTCTGGACCTGGAGTCAGTAAGACCTAAGCTCAAATGTGACTTCAGACACTTACCTATGTGACCTTGGGCAAGTCACTTAACTTCTGTTTGCCTCAGTTTCCTTAGCTATAAAGTGAGGAATAATAATAGCACCTACCTCCTAGGCTTGTTGTGAGGATCAATAAGATGTCTGTACAGTGCCTGGCA